AGCGAGGCCCGGCCCTGGCGCTTCCCAGAACTCGGGCAGCCCCGGGCTATGTTTAACCACTCCCGGGGTGCCGCGTGGTTTTGGGGGGTTCAGGGGGGTGGGAACCACTTTCCCTTGGCCAGGGGGTTGGCAGGACGCCGGTGGCCACCGGGGCTGTGGCCAAATGCCACTCCTGACGCCGGGCTGGCCAGCAGAGCTGGAAGAGGCACTTCGGGGGGGGCTGAGGGCATCTCCTGCCATATTTTGGGGTACTTGCTGCACCCCAAAAATGGGACTATCAAAGAAAGGCTTTGCTCGGTCAGGCTGCTATGAAACCCCAACATCTGTCTAAATGACTCCCCAAAATGAGTGTTTTTACAGCCCCCACTGATGTTTGGGGTTTTGGGGACCCCCTAGATATTGGAGACCCCCCTCCCCTCCGCCACTGTAGCGATAAATAAACCTTTATTTTATACAGGACTCACGGGAAACACAAACACAGTTTGGGAGGGTGTGAAAAAATATTCCTCCCCTTCCCCCCAGTTCCAGCCTCCGGCAGATTCCGGAACTTTTGTCCCTTAAAATAAAGGGGGGGAGAGGGAGTTCCACTTTGGGGTTACCCTGGATTTGAGTCCCCTCTTTTTTTTTTGGGGGGGGAGGGGATGATGCTGGGGTTGGACCCACTCTTCATTCCGGGGTCACGGCAGAGGGGCGGCCCCTTTGTGGTGCATCACCCCCTCACCCAAAGGGTTTTTGGGGTGACAGAGATTGTCTGGAGGGGGGCACATCCCAATTTTTTTTGGAGGTCCCCCCCAAATCCTGCACCGGGGACGATGGCTTCAGCTCCTGGCACGGGGGTGGCACACAGAGGGGGGTGAAGCGGTGACACCCCCGCAGACGGGGGGGTGACTATGAGCCCTGTGGGAGGGACATCAGCGGGGGCACCCCAGGGTGGGCACCCCCGTACTGCAGCGGGGGAGGGGGGCAAACAGCCTCACCGGGTTATGGGGGGGCTGCTCCAGCTGGATTTTGATCTCGGGGCAGGGCGGGTCAGGCGGGCGGCGGCCTGGGGCAAAGGGGGGGTCATGAGCACCCCGAGGGGTCCCCAGCCCTGCGGCGCCCCAACCGGGGGTGCTGGGCTACCTGGGGGGGTCCCGGGGGGCTCATCCGGCCAGGGGGTGTCAGTGAAGGCGTCGCGGTGGCTCCCCGAGGGCGAGCGGCTCTCCTGAGGGGGTGGAGGGGGTCAGAGGGTGCTGCCCACCCCAGGCTGCCCCCCCGGAGCCCTCCCCGGGCTCCCCGTACCCGTCCCGGCTCGCCGGGCTCCTCCGCGGCGCTGCCGAAGCTGCTGGCGCTGGAGGAGGAGCGGGAGAAATCCGGCGGCTCCGGCTTCTCGGCCCTGCCAGGGACAGTCCCCAAGGCCAGGGACAGTCCCCCAGACCACAGCAGGCTGGCACCGCGCCTCGTGGCCACCGCCGTGGCCCGCTGCGATGCTGTGCTGGCCCCGGGACGCCCTGTCCCCATGCCACCCCGTCCAGGACACTGGATCCTCGTGTCACCCTAGCCCTGGCATGTCCCATCCCCGTGCCACCCTGTCCCCACCCCATCCCATCCCTGGGAGGTCCCATCTCCGTGCCACCCTGTCCCCATGTCTCTTGTCATCATCCCAACCTATCCCCGTGCCACCCACCTTCATGCCAACCTACATCCAGGCCACCCAAGTGCCACCCCACAGCCCCCTGCCACCTTGTCCCTGGGACACACAGACCCGGTGCCACTCAGTCCCTGGGTGGACCTGTCCCCGTGCCACCCTGTCCCTCTGGTGCCTTGTCCCCACGCTACCCTGTGCCAGCCATCCTGGTGCCACCTTGTCCCGGTGTCACCCATCCCTGTGCCACCCAGCCCACTGCATTCCTTTGCTGTCCCATCCCTCCGGTCCCTGTGTCACCTTCACATCGCCCTGTGCCAGCGCCCATCCCTGTGCCACCCCGTCCTGGTGTCACCCTGTCCTTGAGCTGCACCACCCCGGTGCCCTCCAGTCCCCGTGTCACCCTGATGTCACCCTGTCCCCATGTCACCTGGTCCTGGAGTCACCCATACCGGTGCCACCCTGTCCCCTTGCCACACCAGCCCAGTGCCCTCCAGTCCCCGAGCATTCCCAGCCCGGTGCCCTGCTGTCCCCGCGTCCCCCATCCCGGTGCCAGCTGCGGGACCTGTCGGGGTTCCGGCGGCTCTCGGGGGAGCTGTGCGTGGAGCTGGAGCCGTCGGCGGCTGCGGGGCCGTCCCTGCGGGGAGGCGACGCCAGTGAGGTGACACCGGGAGGGGCCAGCGGGAGGGACAGCGGCGGTGCCGGTACCGGCGCTCACCTGCCGGCCGGCGCCTCCTGGATGCTCTCGATGCCGATGGCGCTGGAGCGGCGGGAGCCCAGGGGGCCGGGCCGCCGCCGTGACGGGCTCTTCCCGGGCACCAGCAGCGCCTGCGGGGCGCCGTTAACCGGGGGGACACCGGGGAGCGGGGTGACACCGAGGGGGGACAGCGAGGTACCCACCTCTTCCACCGAGCCCAGCCCGATGGCGCTGCCGCGGCGTCCCCGGCGGCTCCCGGGCACCAGCAGCGACTGGGGGCGGCAGCGGGTCACCGACCGGGGACCACGGCGGGGGGCTACCGGGCACCGGTGGGGGGAACCGGGCACCGGTGGGGGGAACCGGGCACCAGGGGGAGGGGAACGGGGCACCAGGGGGAGAACCAAGTACCGGGGGGCGAACAGGGCACCAGGGGGAGGGGGAACCGGGCACTGAGGGAGGAACCAAGTACCGGGAGGGGAACCGGGCACCGGGTCGGGGCGGAGCTAAGGGCGAGTGGGAGGGGCTTGTGTAAAGGGGCGGGGCTTAAGGCGCGGGGCGCGACTTGGGCGGGGATTATGCAGATTAGGGGCGTGGTCGACACGGGGCGGGGCTTGATGTGAAAGGGGCGGGGCTTGCGGACACGGGGGCGGTCCGTGCGTGAGGGGCGGGGTCACAGCAAAGAGGCGTGGTCAGACCAAGGGGGCGTGGCCAGCCGAGGGGGCGTGGCCAGCCCGAGGGGGCGTGTCCTGGCCGGGGCTCCCGAACCGGGACCGGGACCGGGACCGGGACCGGCCCCGCCGCGCTGCGGGACCGCGCCCCACCTTGAAGGACTCGAAGAAGCCCGGGGCGGCGCCGCCGTTGTCGGGGCGCTCGTCGTCGGGGCCGAGCCCCAGCATGGCCTGGCTGCGCGCCTGCAGCTCCTCGTGCAGCGTCTCCAGCAGCGCCGCCCGCGTCCGCTCCTGCGCACCAGCCCTGCACTGCTGCGCCCACGCGAGACCACCCGGCCCGCACCTGCCCCGCACCCACCTCCGCAACCAGCCCCGCACAGCCCGCACCCACCCGCCACCCACGCAGGACCAGCCCCCGCCCTGCTGCACCCACGCGGCACCGCCCACAGCCCCCTGCAGCCCCTCACCCACCGCTGCCACCCACGCGAGGCCACCGCGAGCACCCAGCCCTGCCCTGCTGCTCCCACGCCACACGGCTGCACCCACGCGAGACACCCACACGCCAGCGCAGCGCTGCACCCACACGTGAGACCACCCCACGTGCGATTCCCCCTACCCCGGGCACCACCCACCTGCCCAGACGGGGACCCAGCTCCTGCCCACCCACGCGGTGCCTACGGTTCCCACGGTGGGCACGGCACCCACGGCACCCACATCCGCATCCCACGGCTGGCCCAGCCCCTCTGGGTGCCCCCCGGCACCCCCTGCCCGCACCTCCAGCTTGGCGAACTTCTCGGCGCGGTAGCAGGCGTACTCGGCGTTGATCAGCTTGGTCAGCAGGAACTCCTGGAACTCGGGGCCCTGCGGGGTGGGGCGGCCCGGGTGGGTGCGTGGGTGGGTGGGTGTCCCCTGGGGCTCCCCGGCGGCACCCACGGGCACGCACCTTCCTGAAGACGGCGGGGTCGGGCAGCGGCGGGCCGAAGAAGGGCACGTCGTCCCGGGCCGTGACGGAGACCTGCGGCGGGTGGGGGGTGACGGGGCACCCCGCGGGGGCCCACGGGCACGGGGACACTGAGGCACGGGGGGGGTACCTTGTAGAGGGTGCCCTGGGCGCCCCCCTGCTCCAGCTGCACCACCACGAAGGCGTGGAGGAAGTTGGAGGCGATCATGTCGGGCACGAACGGTGTGTTCTCGTCCTGGAAGACGATGGCCACGATGTCGTTGCCGATGTGACGCTTCCGCTGCAGCTGTGGGGACAGGCGGGATGCGGAGGGACAGGGAGGACGTGGGGGACGAAGGGTGGTCACACCAGGGGCATCAAAAGGAATGAAAGCCCTTGTGCCCCACAGATGCACCCCAGCACCCATGGGTGCTCCACCAGCCCCCTGCATCCTACAGCTCTCCCCTGGCACCCATGGGTGCCTTTACAGCCCTCTGCATCCCAAAGATGTTTCCCCACACCCATGAGTGCCCTGTCATCTCCTGGGCCTCACAGCTGCCCACCACCCCCCATGGGTGTCCCAGGAGTCCCCTCCATTCCATGGGACATCCCCAAAGCCCCAACAGCCCTTCCACCCATAGAAGTGCCCCAGGAGCACCTCCCACCCCCTGCTCTCAAGCACCCAAGTGTCGCCCCCAGTCCCCCTCCTGTCAGCCCCCATGGGTGCCCACCTGCTGGGCGTCCCCCTCGGTGTAGGGCAGTTTGGTGGAGACGTGGAACATGATCTCCTTGTCACGGAAGTGGCAATAGACCGACTCGCTGCCTGTCTGCCCGTGGGTCACATCCAGCCCCCCTCGGAACCTGCGTGGGTGGGTGGGTGGGTGGGTGGGTGAGAACGGCACCCTGGCCCCGCGGGTCCTTCCCCCCCCCCAGCATCCCTCACGCACCCCTTGAAGTCCCGCAGCTGCACCCGCTGACCCAGGACGTCGAGGAATTCGGCGAAGGCCGGGCTCTCCTCCGTGGTGCCAAAGAGCTCCTCCTCGGAGGTCTGCAGTGGGGTGGGGATGGGTGCCAGCACCCACCCAGGGACTCCCCTCACCCTAACCCCCACCCACCCCACCCCATACCTGCCCTAGTTTTTGGTAGATGACCCCAAATTTGAAGTGGTTGCTGAGCACGTGCTCATCAAAGGCGAGGATGAGGCGGGATGCCTGCGGGGTGGGGAGGGGTCAGAAGTTGGGGAGAGGCACCCACGGGTGCCCAGGTGCCCCCTCCCTGCAGCCCGTTCACCTTGGGGTAGAGCACGGGGTAGAAGCGATCCACATTGACGTCCTCGCACACCAGCTGTGGGAAGGAGGGGTGCTGCCATGGGGGGCCTGGGACTGGGGGGCACCCATGGGTGCTGCTGGGAGCCGGGGCCGCACCCACCTTGGCCATCTGCACCACGTTGGGGAACTCGGCCAGGCAGGAGATGGGCACCACATCGTGCAGGGTGCGGGCACGGGTGCTGCGGAGCAAGGAGGGGGTCAGGGGAGCCCCCGGCCCAGGCAGCTCCCATGGGTGCCTCCCGCAGCCCGCTCACCGCAGCAGCAGGTGGAGGTGCTCCTGCTCGTCGTACTTGAGGGAGAAGACGAGGTGTCCCAGCGCCGGGTCCAGGGAGTAGTAGTTGAAGTGCTCCTGTGGGAAGGAGCCGAGCAGCCATGGCCAAGGGCGCTCCTGCTGGGGCACTCGTGCCATGGGACACCCAGGCCCATGAGCACCCACATCCATGGGACACCCGTGTCCATGAGCACCCACATCCATGGGGCACCCGTGTCCATGAGCACCCACATCCATGGGGTACCCGTGTCCATGAGCACCCACATCCATGGGGCACCCGTGTCCATGAGCACCCACACCCATGAGACACCCGTGTCCATGAGCACCCACATCCATGGGACACCCAGGCCCATGAGCACCCACATCCATGGGGCACCCAGGCCCATGATCATCCACATTCATGCAACACCCATGTCCATGAGCACCCACACCCATGAGACACCCGTGTCCATGAGATACCCACACCCATGAGCACCCATCCTAATGGAGCACCCATGTCCATGAGCACCCACAGGTGCCTCCTATGGGGCACCTACACTCAGTGAGCCTCACACCCCTTGTGGCATCCAGGTCCTATAGACACACAGACCAATGGAGCCCTCATGTCCATGGGCACCTCCTGCCCATGGAGACTCAACACCCACCTCCTCACCACCCACCCCACGGAGCGCCCATGTCCGCACACAGCCGCATGCCAAAGCACCTGTGTTTGTGAGGTCTCCATGTCCTTCCATTCCCATGGAGAACCCACCCCAGGCACCGTTGCCATGCCCAGGGATACCCACCCCACATCCATCAGCCCCACGTCCATGGCCCGTGGGGCTCCCCTCCCCGTGGACACCACACCCACGTCCACGAACACCCGAGTTTATGTGGTCTCCGTGCTCCTGCCCATCCAATACCCACAGGACGTCGGCCCCACCCCAGACCCCACGCCTGCAGCACCCCGGGGCCTCACCTTGCCCAGGAAGTGCTTGCGGTAGATCTTGGCCGTGTGGTTGCCCTCCAGCTTTGCCCGGGCGCCGGGTACCGGGGTGGGTGGCGAGTCAGGGGCCCCGCTCAGCTGGTGGTTGGTGCCCTCGATCCAGTAACCCCCGAACTGCGGCAGGAGGATGAGGGGGAACGGCCCCTCCCGGCCCAGCACCTGCGCCCACAGCTGCGGTGGGTGCTTTGGGCACCACCCCCAGCCCACCCAGCCGGGCGCTGGCCCTCCCAGCCCCCTCGGGAGAGCGGGGCGCTCTACCTCGTGCACGCTGGGGTAGGGGATGTAGTCCTCCTCCGTCTGCAAGGCAACGGAGTGGTGACGGCCACCATGGGTGGTGGGATGGGTGTTACCCATGGTGGCACCCCAGGGTGCCGGTTGCGAGCCCCCCATCCCAACAACACCTACCTTGAGTGGTGGGGGGATGGCATGGCGCTGCTGGGCCATCCTGCTGCCCTGGGGAGAGAGGGGCTGTGGGTGCCCGTCTCCCCGCCTTGGGGTGGGCATCCACGGGTGGGGGGCATCCACGGGTGCTTACCTCGTGGTTGGGAGGTGCTGCTGGCTGGAGACGGGTCTAGGTGGTGCGAGGGCGTCCAGGGGGGCCCATGGCGCTTCCTGGGGAGAGGAGAGCTCCCGCACAGCCCCTCCCCGGGACTCCGGCCGGCGGCCTTGCCCCGGAGCCGGCCGGTGGCCGGAGCCGAGCGCCGGCCGCGGGTGCGGGGTCAGCGCGGGACCCCCCCGAGGGGCGCCCTCTGCCGGCGGGCGGCGGCGGCGCGGGGCAGCACCACGGACAGCGCCGGGACCCGCGGGAGCGGCACCGGCCCCGGGGAG